GTTGGGAGCTCAGCAGACAGTTAGGTTTCACTTTCACCCGAGAGCCTGCAGGAGTCATGGGCGGGGTGTGTGGGGAGGGAGTGGGGAGGGGGTGCACTCTGCCATGAGGAAGTTTGGGTTAAAGACACGTTCTGGTCCCCACCTGTCGTTTTGCTCCTCAGCATGGCTTCATAAAAACACTGCAGGATTTCTCAAACATGATGAATGAGTCAGAGCAAGGCTTTGGGCATGTTTTTTATGAGAGGATAACATTATAACATGATATAAAAAGTTGATTTTACATGATATTGCCCCTTTAAAACGTATTTTCTTGTTTAATCTTTTCTTTCATTTGTTTTTTAGCAACGATAAGTTGAAGATCCACATGAGGAAACACACGGGCGAACGCCCGTACACCTGCCCCCACTGCCCCGCCCGCTTCCTCCACTCGTACGACCTGAAGAACCACCTGTCCCTGCACAGCGGGGCGCGGCCCTTCGAGTGCCCGCTCTGCCACAAGGCCTTCGCCCGGGAGGACCACCTCCAGCGCCACCGCAAGGGCCACAGCTGCCTGGAGCAGCGCACGCGCCGGCCCCGGCGGGGGCCCGAGCTGATGGAGGACGGCGGCCGGAGCGAGCAGTCCAGTCCTCTGTCCTTCCAGCCCCACCCCTCGGTGTTCCGCCCCCGCTCGCTCCTGGAAGGCGGCGGCGGCGGCGTATCGGGAAGCGGCCTGCCGCTGATGTTTCCCGGAGACGTGGAACGGGAGAGGGAACGCTCGCTCGCCCTCCAGGCTCTGGCCCAGCTCGGTCCTCACAGGTTGACCAACTACCACGAGCTTTTCCTGCGAGGCCTGCTGGGAGGCAGAGAGGGGGAGGGGGAGGAGCCAGGGAGGACCCACTCTCCGGCGCTGCAACGCGACCGATGGGCCGAAGAAGAGGAAATGGGAGAGGAAGAAGCAGAAGAAGGGGAATGATAATAAAAAGACTTGTATGTGGTAAAGCATCCACAGTAAAAAAAAAAATATAATATATCTAAATATATAATTATCTCAGGTGGCTGGACTAATGACCTGCTCCCGTACAGAGAGCACTTAAAAAATGTATCAAAGTTTAAAGGGAGGAAAACGGGTTTTCTGAATTCTTTTAAATGTTGGTTCTTCTGGTTTTGGACGTTTATTTAGTTTGTTTTGTTGTTTAAATTTCAAGTTCTTTATGTTTGAGCTCTCTCTAATGATTTGAATCAGTTTTGTTCTTGTTGGTGTTTAAAAACTGGGATCTTTTTCACTATGCAAACTAAAACCCGGGATTAGACAGAAGACCTCAGTGAGGTTTGTGTGCCCCCTTGTCAGTCAGAAAGGCTTTTTCTATGGGATCAATCTTGTGCCAGCAGGAACTGAATCTGAATTGCTCAGATTGAATCTGAATGTGCAGAATTTGTAATTGAATGCATTGGTTTGAAAATGAATTTTACTAAACTGAATTTAAAGTTTTGCATCTGAATTAATTTGCTTTGAAACTGTATTTTGGTTTATTAAAAATTCACTTTCACTACTGTAACAGAGTTGATGCAATCCACTGTAAAAGTGACAAAAACAGACAAAGTTATTTTATTGCAGTGATTAGTTTGACCTATATGTAGAAAATGTTACATTTATATCAACTCTGTTACATCCAGAAGGGAAACTTCACCAAAGTGAAACATAAATCTGTGGATCTGTGTTTGATTACTCTGCCTGGCTTTCTCAAGGACCAGGATGTGACACAAAAATCTGAATCATGGAACTGAAATTTGAAAGTAGTGAAACTGAATTTATAATAAATCAAAATACAGTTTCAAAGCAAATTTATTCAAATTCAAAACTTTATATTCAGTTTCAAATCAAAATCAATTTCAGTTTAGTGAAATTTGTTTTAAAACCAATGTATTCTGTTTCAAATTATGAACACTGAAATTCAATTCCTGTTGGCACAAGATTTATCCCACAGATTTCAACTTGTTCTGAATGTTTCAAGCAATAACTTTGTTTTGGTGTTTTAAATCAAAGATGTAATTGAAGAGGAGGGAGGTGAACTGTAGCCAATGTTGGGTTTGAGGAGATTCTTCCCAACTTTTCTTTTTTTCTTTTTCTTTGTAAGCCATGAGAAAGACTTTACTTCCATGTCTGAGAGCCATAAAGCTCTGCTGTAAACGCCCGACCAAACGAGACCAAGTCTGGGTCGATGACTCGATGCTGATTAATCTTAAAGACTTTTTGTTTCTTTCTTAGAGGCTGTGGATTCCAGTCTTCCAATGAACTCGTTTTGGGTTCTTTAAAAACTAAACAAAACAAAAAAAAAAGTGTGTGTGACAAGATGTAGGGATTACTAAAAACAACGAGCCCCCATCTGTGTATTTATTTATTTATTTTTTATTTATTACGGCTCTTCTGCTTTTATTTCTTTTTCTTTTTAGGACCAAAATCCAGAGTTGAACCCAGATCGACAATCTGTGGGAAACATTCAAGAAACCGCTTTGCACTAAAACTTGTTTTGCTCTCTGTATACCTTCAAAGCCTTTTTAAATCTTTTTTTTTTTTTTGAATTTCCAGATTGATTGTCTCCTTTTGGCCAATTTCCCACTCTTCCTATGCAATCTTTGCACATGTAATCGAGCAGGTTCTGCAGTGAAAGACGAGGCACATTCTGTATCTTCAGGGTTAGTGAGAACAAACACATCTGGGGGGAGGTAAAGACTTTCGAACGAGAACACAAGATAACTTTTCTGTACATGTGGCCGTTCTTGTAGCTTTTCTGCAACTAAGCAGCTGCATTATCTGTTGACTTTATTCACATCTAACCAAATACTTTCTAACTTCTCCACATCTTCTTGAAAATCCATGTAGCAGACATGCTCTTCTGGCCTTGTGTGCACAATCATCTCTGTCCTTTTGTAAATTCCCTTTTTATTTCCAGTTTATTTGCACTAAGAGATTTGAGAGCTCCAAGTGATTTTTTTTTTTTTGGGTCCAACCTTCAGTATCCTGTCCATTAACTGTCTTGTTACCATTTAAAATTGTGATTAGACAATACCTCTGTACATGTTCGACCCTCGGCACGTTAGCAGTATAGTGGTGGTCACAGTTGTGCTAATTTGCTAATAACAGAACTAGCTTCTCATTCAGCAGATAGCATTTTTGCTAACTTTGGAAACCGTTGGCACACTTACGCTAAATTGGGTTCCACTAATTTTAAGTCTGCTAAAAAAAATTCGAAGTTCTATTTTTGTGCCGTTTATTCCAAATTATTTAAAAAAAATCGGTACCACTTTACAATAAGGCTCCCCTTATAGAAGGCTTATAAAGAGTTTATAGATAGGTTACTAATTCATCTGTAAACACTTTATAAATCATTAATTAATGTTTATTATGCAACAATTAAGGACGATAAAGATGAAACTGTCCAGTTTCTTAAATAATGAGTCAAATCTGTTCACGTACATATTCAGACTAGGTTTCTACATTGTAAGTACAATAATGTTAAGAAACACATATTTTAACATATTATGACTATTACTGTGTTTTAAATATTCACAACTGTCAAAGAGAGACTTATCATAAAGTCTAATACAGTACACTATTTATTAATGACAAACATTTATAAATGCCAAAAGTTAGTCTTTAATGTGAAAAATCATTTTTAAAACTTAGTGTTGATTATCAATATTTGAAATTATTGGTCAAACATGTAACTACTGTCAACAATGTATCACAAAAATTAAAAAAATGTCATGTTAACACCAAATAATCCAACCCAATCTAAAAGTGTAGTTTTACACTGGGATCCCTTTAAAATGTGTGGATATTAATAATGCAGTAATACAGTACATTATTATATGTTAAAATATGTATTTCCTAATCATTACTGTGCTTACAAGGTAGTAAATTAGTCTGAAATGTTTAATACACAGATTTGTCTCAGTATTTGGTACAAACCAGACAGTTTATTCTCTTTTTTTTACCTTAATTAATGCATAATAAACACTTATTAATAATTTATAAAGTGTTTACAGATGAATTAATAACCTATAAGGGGAGCCTTATTGTAAAGTGGCACCAAAAAACCTATCCTGTTACCAGCAACGCTGAATGACGGTCATCTTAGCGTTAGCGGTTAACGTTTCCACTTATTTTCTGCTTAGCATTAGCGTAGCTAGCATTCTTGTTTAGCAGCTTCGCTGATACTGAACCTAACGTTTTGATTAGCTGTGCCCACCACTGTATACATATATAGTGATAAAGTTGCCTTAGGTTTTTGTTTCTGCTGCAACTATTCTCAGGAAATCTTGAGCAATGCACTAAGTGATGATTATACAAAAATATATGTAAATGGGGAGAAACTGGTGCTGTAGGGGTGACTAATGCTCTTTATGCAAGTGTAATTAAATAATAGTTTTGAAAATATATGTTAAGCTTTTTATAGATTTTTTTTGGGGGGGGGATTCCAAAAAAAAAAAAAAAGCAAAATGAAGGAAACCTCGGTTCAAATATAGCAGTAATGAAAGTGAACTACTGGCCTTGTTGGAACCTGTCTTACTGGAAAAGCAGTGCGACAGTTGGTCGTGTGCGTGAAGGGTGTTGGTGCTCCCGGTTAAAAAAAGAAATCTTTGTGTATGAATGACGGTTAACTGATGTCATCTGTGTGAAGTGTGTGTTTATACGTGATGCTGGTTGTGTTTTCTTGGCTTCGGTGAGGGCGGCGGACTTTGGGGGGGGGGGTCTGGTCTCGATAGAGGCCTCGTCATCAGGGATACTTTTTTTTTGTCTTTCAGTTTTTAGAGGACCTTCTCAGAGATACAAATTCATTTTCCAATGATTTGTTTCAGCTAATATGTAAAAAAAAAAAAGAAATAAGATATCTAAGATTGCTTTTTGTGCTTGTCTTTGTTGTTTAACTGACTCTTGAAAAACTTTAGTAAAGATATTTTTGAGGCCTGCTATGAAATAAATTAAGAGTTTAAAAGATTTGGAAATATTTGTTAATGTTTTTAAGCCAGAGCAAAGTTTACAGTTTAAAAAGTAAAACTTCTGCCCTCTACTGGACACCTGTTGCAACTGAACCTGTCACTTTTTGGTGGCATTATTTTCTGCACACACTTATTTACTCTCATCAAACCACAATAAGTTCATTGGAATAAAATAAAATTAGTCCACTTTTATAGCTCAACCTCTAAATTCACATTGTCAGAAGTATTTAAAGCAGTAAGTTGATCTTTTGTAATGATTTTATATAGAAAAGTTTGAACAATTAACATATTACCTGTTGCAGATAGCTGATTGAATGACCACTTTAAAATAAATTATTTTCAGATTAGAAAGCTAAGCTAACGGATAATTCAAGCAGGACAAAGACAAAAATATCACCATTTTGCAGTGTTGTATAAAGTACCACAAAGTGATACTTGAGTAAAAGTACAAGTGTCTTACAAAAAAATTACTTTGGTAAAAGTTAGTTTACTTTAGAAATAGTACTTGAGTAAAAGTCTTAATGTATGTGATATTTGTTGTAGTTAAGTATTAAAAGTCAAAGTGTAGATTTAAAATGAGCAGTTAGATTTTCTGTAAGGACATTTATTAGGAGGTGACCTCCCCAAAAACTGCAGAAATGACTGTTGTATTAAAAGAATGAATGGATGTTAAATTTAGGATGCACTAGTCCAGCTGTTTCAGTTTATATACATATATCAAGGCTGCACAAAGCTTTTCCCCAAAATGAAAATCTATCTGAGGGCTGCGGCCAAATGTAAGAATATAATTCATGAAATACAAATACTTCTTAAGTACAGTCCTTTTATTTGAATGATTCTGTCCTGCTGGAGTGTGACATGATTTGTTTGTGTACAAACTAATACACTATCAGAGTTTTATATATTTATACTTCTCATTCAACCACAGTTAAATTCACTCTATCTAGGAGGCACAGTTTATATGGATAGTTTTTATTTTTTACAATAAGCTGGAATGAAAACAAGCAACAATTAAATAAAAGTAACAACTTTCTACTTCTTGTCTTTTTATAAAACGTAAGTAGAAAAAGTAGGCTGAAAAATAATTACTCAAGTACAGATACACAAAAAAATCTACTTAAGTACAGCAACGAAGTATTTGTAATTATTTGTACTTATTTTACAACTCTGCCATTTTGAAATATTTCCACTCACTAAATCTTCACAGCGCTGTAGGTTTTGTGTTAAAGTGATTTTTATAAGTATTTTTGAACAATGCAAATATCTGCAGCAGTATCTCGCTGCAGGTGGTGTTAACCTCAGGAATTTGTCAGACTTGCCTGTTTCTTCAAACTGAGGTATCTGTAACAGGTAAGATATTGTTTATACCTTATTTTTTTCACAAAAACTGAATTATCACGTAAAGAATGTCCGAGGGGGAAAAGACATCAAGTTTTTTTTTAATATATTCCTTTGTCTTGTATTTAAAAAAGTATTCCAGGAATTTTTTTACCTTATTTGTTGAATTCTAAGACTATTTATCACTGATAATAGGAAAGATATTGGATGAAAGAAAAGTATTTTCTATAAAAATAACACTATTTCAAAGCAACTTTAATTCCCTACTTGATGTAGCATCTAAATAATGCAAATAAACATCAGTAAGTTGCTAAAATTTTGATTTTTTTTTCCAAATATTGATAATTATGTTTCTTATTCACACAGGTGATGTAAAATTGTTGTACAGCTTCCTACTTCCTGATTACATACGGTCTAAAGATCTGCAGTTACATTGAATAGTGCTAATTTACTTTACTGCCTTTAGATACACAGATGTTCCTTCTTTTGACAGATAAAGAGGATGTGCAGAGGACAAGCTGATGTCATAAATATCCAACTGACCCTTCAGCGCTCTCGCTGTAGATCTGCTTTTTAGAAGTTCACCATCCTCAGATATAAATTAGTATTTTTTAAAGAGCCTTAAACATAAAAACCAAACAGGATTTTTTTTTTACAGAAATGGACAACGTATAAAATATGGTAAAGAAAGTATTTGCTATTTAACTAGCTTCAAGCGGTACTTATAAAAATAAAAGCATCACAAGTTAGAGCTATAACTGGTTTAGATTGGCTGATTTTCCACAGACTCCACCCACCTTTAAATTAAACCAACAGAGTCCAACTAACAAGCTCGTCAGTCCCACCAGTCTTCAGCTGGAAGGAGATGAAGACGTGAAACAGGTTAACGGTTAGCTCATTTTTTATTGTTTAGCGAAGCTGAGAAGAGCCAAGACTTTAGTTTTGCAGATTACTGGTTAGTGAACCTAACCTTTTGGTTAGCTAACCCACTTTAAAACCTCCAAAAAACAAACTTTAGTTTTCTTTTCTTTAGTCCAGACATGGTCAGTCCTGGTCCTGGAGGGCCTCAGTCCTGCATGTTCTACTTGTTTCTCTGCTCCAACACACCTGATGTGAAGGAATAGATGATTATCAGGCTTCTGCAGTACGGAGGACCAACACTGACATAATTAGAAATAAAAGCAGAAATAGATAAATTAACCTTTAAATAAATAAACACATTTAAAATGCACCAAATAAATTAAAAAGGAGAACTTTACCTCATGTTTTATCATTTAATTAACCTTCATATTTATTTTTCCAGCTTAGTTCCAAC